TCTCCCTTTTTTTTCTTTTCTTTCTTTTTTTTTTTTTTTAAGAGACAGTCTCACTGTCTGGCCCAGGCTGGTGTGCAGCAGCATGATCACAGTTCACTGCAGCCTTGAACTCCGGGGCTCAAGCAGTCCTCCTGCCTCAGCCTACCCAGTAGCTGGGACCACAGGCACACACCACTATGCCTGGTTAAGTTTTGTACTTTTAGTAAAGATGGGGTTTCGCCATGTAGGCCAGGCTGGTCTTGAACTCCTGACCTCAGGTGATCCGCCCACCTCTCCCTCCCAAAGTGTGGGGATTACAGGCATGAGCCACTGCACTCGGATGTCAGTTTGATCTTTTGACGCCATTTCCCTTCTTTATACATCCCCTTCCCCACATCTTGTTTGGTATTTAATGGAAATTTCTCTTTTCTAAAGGATCTACCGCTACCAATCTCATGACTATGCCTTCAGTAGTGTTGAAAAATTACTTCATGCTCTAGGAGGAGATGACTTCCTTGGAATGCTTAATCGAACACTTCTTGAAACCTTGCAAAAGGCCGGCTTCTCTGAGAAATTCCTCAATGAAATGATTGCTCCTGTTATGAGGGTCAATTATGGCCAAAGCACGGACATCAATGCCTTTGTGGGTAAGCCAGGGCTTGGAACAGTGGTGGACATGAGTTCACAAAGGGGCTTACCTGATGCTATGGTGGTTCTAGACTTTAGGCCATGGATCGGAGGCTACTTTTCTCTGTGAACCTCAGACATTGTTGGCAAAATTGTGCGTATATAGACGTTGATTTTTAGGGGGACGGGGTCTTTAGCTTTCATTAGTTCAGTGATTCTTCATTGGGGGAGATTTTGCTCCCAGGGGCCATTTAGCAATGTCTAGAGACATTTAGAGTAGAACATGTAATTGGGAAGGGAGAGTGGGTAGAGAGCCTCTTAAAAGTCAGAATTAAAACACATTTTTTCTGTTGACAGGGGCAGTGTCACTGTCCTGTTCTGATTCTGGCCTTTGGGCAGTAGAAGGTGGCAATAAACTTGTTTGCTCAGGGCTCCTGCAGGCGTCCAAAAGCAATCTTATATCTGGCTCAGTAATGTACATAGAGGAGAAAACAAAGACCAAGCACACAGGTAAGCTTGAATTTCTGTCTTATTGTTCCTGATTTCCCCTGCAGAAAATGATTGCTCTCTTCTGTCATCTCTTACTCAGTTCTAAAATGATGAAACTTAAAATTGTATATATTGTGCCATATAGAAATATTCCCCAATGGGCTGGGTACAGTGGCTCACGCCTGTAATCCCTGTACTTTGGGAGGCCAAGGAGGGTGGATCACCTGAGGTCAGGAGTTCGAGACTAGCCTGGCCAACATGGTTAAACGCTGTCTCTACTAAAAATACAAAAAATTAGCTGGGCTTGGTGGTGGGCGCCTGTAATCCCAGCTACTTGGGAGGCTGAGGCAGGAGAATCACATGAACCCGGGAGGCAGAGGTTGCAGTGGGCCAAGATCACACCACTGCAGTCTAGCCTGGGTGACAGAGCGAGACTCCATCTAAAAAGAAAAAAAAAAAAAAAAGAAAGAAATATTCCCCAATGTAGTTAAGTGCAGTGGCATGACTCCTTGGATTTGAAAAATAATCTTATCTTAAAAAGTAAAAATTCTGTATTTTGTACTTATTGACATTCTGAGTAAGAAATTGGCCTCAATGTAATAAAAATGCAAGGGACAGCTATCTTAAGGGATATAACTTCTTCAATTCTTTAGAATTATAGAGAAATTATGAAGAAGGTATAGAATTATTTTTAGAAGGTATGTTAAAAACACTGAACAAATAAATGCCTTATTTCCTCTAGGAAATCCAACAAAGATGTATGAAGTGGTCTACCAAATTGGAACTGAGACTCATTCAGACTTCTATGACATCGTCTTGGTGGCCACTCCATTGAATCGAAAAATGTCTAATATTACTTTTCTCAACTTTGACCCTCCAATTGAGGAATTCCATCAATATTATCAACATATAGTGACAACTTTAGTTAAGGGGGAATTGAATACATCTATCTTTAGCTCTAGACCCATAGATAAATTTGGCCTTAGTACAGTTTTAACCACTGATAATTCAGATTTGTTCATTAACAGTATTGGGATTGTGTCCTCTGTGAGAGAAAAGGAAGATCCTGAGCCATCAACAGATGGGACATATGTTTGGAAGATCTTTTCCCAAGAAACTCTAACTAAAGCACAAATTTTAAAGCTCTTTCTGTCCTATGATTATGCTGTGAAGAAGCCATGGCTTGCATATCCTCACTATAAGCCCCCAGAGAAATGCCCCTCTATCATTCTCCATGATCGACTTTATTACCTCAATGGCATAGAGTGTGCAGCAAGTGCCATGGAGATGAGTGCCATTGCAGCTCACAATGCTGCACTTCTTGCCTATCACCGCTGGAATGGGCACACAGACATGATTGACCAGGATGGCTTATATGAGAAACTGAAAACTGAGCTATGAAGTGACACACTCTTTTTTTCCCCTCCTAGTTCCAAATGACTATCAGTGGCAAAAAAAGAACAAAATCTGAGCAGAGATGATTTTGAACCAGATAGTTTGCCATTATCATTGTTTACTAAAAGTAATCCCTGCTGGTCATAGGAAAACACACGGTTCTAATTAAGTGTGAAGGTATAGCTATTGCACTTATGCCATCTCAAAGTATTCTTTTACTATCCATTAGGAGTTTTTCTTAAACTTGTTTGATAATAAGAATCACCTGGAGTTAGGAGGTGGCGGTTGCAGTGAGCTGATCGCGCCACTGCACACCAGCATGAGCAACAAGAGCAAAACTCCATCTCAAAAAAAAAAAGCAAATAAAAATAATCACCTGAAGTTTGTTAAACCATATGGATTCTCAAGCTCCTCTCTTGAAGATTCTGATTCAGTAGGTCTGGGGTGGGGCCCTGGATTTTGATCAAAATTGTAGAACATTTTAAGGTGAGTACCTGAGGGAGAACTTAAAGATGTCTTAGTTGGGGAGCAGTCCTTTTGAACTTTACAGGTAGATGTAATCTTCAGTCAGATAAAATTTATGGAAGCTGGTATCTTATGCCTGACTCTTAGTAATTTCATACCTGTTTGAAGTACATGTGCCCATGCCTAAAGCCTTGACTTTCAGAATGTTGTCTTTTGATTATTCTATCTTGATTTGATTAGGGGTGAAATTTAGAAGTCTTAGTAATGTAACTTGAAGATGTTAAACAAAAATCTCAAGTAAAATGAAAAACAAATATGGGCTACTGAATTAAGAATCTGGCATTCTATTATTAAATCCTCACTTCAGGAGCTTTTAAAAATACGGAGAGACCCCCGTAACTAGAGATTCAGATTCAAAGATTGAGGATAGGACCTTAGCCTTGTAGCTTTTTAAAGTTTCTAATGTGCACCCAGGGTTGAGAATTATCAATGTGGGTGTGAAAATGCCTACAAAGGGGTTTTAGTGCCTTAGAAGTCCTAAGAAACCTAATCTGTATCAAAGCAGATCCATTTTGCAAGGATCTTTCTCTTAGTAAGAACTTTAGAAGTAATCTTGATAAGAAGCACAGACAGCCTAACAGTTGGCGCTAGAACAGAATACTTGGAATGACACCAGAGTTAACCAAGTCCAGCATATGTCCAAAGAGTTAAGTGTTTCAGTTACTGTAGCATTCTGGGTGAGAAATTGGTTGCTGAAATCTTAAGACAGTGGCTCTCAACTTTGCCTGCACATTGGAATCACCTGTAGGGTTTTAAAGCATCCAAATGGTAACTAACATGCAGCCAAACTTGAGAACTAGTTCTGCATCTACTGTACAAAGATCATGATTAACTGTCAAGACACTGGTAGAACAGAACAAGCAAAAGATTAAGAATTCAAAAGTAAATGCAACCAATTTAACATGTAATGTTATTAAAAAAAAAAATAAAACGCTTAGATCAGCCTGGGCAACATGGTGAAACCCCATCTCTACAAAAAATTTTCAAAAAGTTAGCCAGGCATGGTAATGCACGCCTGTGGTCCCAGCTGCTCAGGAGGCTGAGGTGGGAGGATCACTTGAGCCTTGGAGGTCGAGGCTGCAGTGAGTCATGATCATGCCACTGTACTCCAGCCTGGGCAACAGAGACCATCTTTAAAAAAAAAAAAAAAAAAATCCCTCCATTGAATAGAAACTTAAAAAAAAAAGTCCTTCATAAGATCATGGCATTAGCTACTTTAGCAAAATAGTGTTAACTTTGGTTCTGAGTAAAAATGACTTCTTCCCTACCACAGTTGTGAATGTTAATATGCTGATAAAACTGGCAAGATATATTTGATAGGTAGGGGATTAAACTCATGGTTTGTCAAAAGGGTGTTTTTTTCTAGTTTTATTCTTAACAGATATGTTAAGAGGTATTCATATTTGTTTCCTTTTGTGGTTTTAATGAACACAATTTGTAAAGAATGTAATACTGTTATGTATATGCTAAATATTGGTAAATACTAATTTCTATTATATGTAGACTTGTTTTGCAATGAGATACATTTTTACTTATAATACCAATTTAGGCTGGGTGCAGTGGCTCATGCCTGTATTCCCAGCACTTTGGGAGGCCAAGGCAAACGGATCACGACGTCAGGAGATCAAGACCATCTGGCCAACATGCTGAAACCCCATCTCTACTAAATATACAAAAATTAGCTGGGCGTGGAGGCGCATGCCTGTAATCCCAGTTACTGTAATCCCAGCTACTTGGGAGGCTGAGGCAGGAGAATTGCCTCAATCGCGAGGCGGAGGTTGCAGTGAGCCGAGGTTGCACCACTGCAGTCCAGCCTGGCGACAGAGCAAGACTCCGTCTCAAAAAAAAAAAAAAAAAAAAGAAAAAAAAAACTTTAGGCTGGGGGGGGGGGCTCACGCCTGTAATCCCAGCACTTTGGGAGGCTGAGGCGGGTGGCTCTCTTGAAGTCAGGAGTTTGAGCCTGGCCAACATACAAAAATTAGTCAGGCATGGTGGCGCACATGTGCCAGTAATCCCAGCTACTTGGGAGGCTGAGGCATGAGAATCGCTTGAACCCTGGAGATGGAGGTTGCAGTGAGCAGAGATCGCACCACTGCACTCCAGCCTGGGCAAGAGTGAGACTGTGTCTCAAAAAAAAAATTAAAATGTTGCTGGTATTACATCAAACCTACTCTGGATAAATTTTCCAGTAGGGCATGTGAAATTGCTTTGGCAAAACCAAAACAGGTTATCAATACACCAAGGACATTAGTAGTTTTAATGCAACTACAGTATTGAGTACTTTTTTAATGGGAGAAAAATTCTAGCAGAACCTGCTACTCCAGGCGCATTAGGTAGTTTTAGGCAACTGTAGTATTAAAGTAGAGTTTTATTGGAAGAAAAACCACTGTCAGAGCTTGCTGCTCCAGACCACTCTTTTTTTTTTTTTTTTTAAATAGAAGAGACTGGTAAAAATGATGCAGGGGCTGAATGAAAGCCAGCTCTGCTCCAGTGGTTTTCTGAGTTGAGCATGCATCAGTTACCTGAAAGGCTTGTTAAAACATCGCTAGGCTCCACCCTGTCTATTCAGTAAGTTTGTTGTGGGACATAAGAAGTTGCATTTTATTAAGTTCCCCGGTGATGCTGCTGTTCTACTATAGGAACCACACTTGAAGAACTAGTTCTACAATTCAGCTCTATGTTGTTGCTAAAATAAAATAAAATAAAATAAAGTCAACGAAGATTTACAAAGAGCTGCTGAAAAATGGAGTAACAGTGTATGGGACTTCATATCAGTTCTCCTTATTGTGATTGTTAGTTTGATCCCTCTTGTTCTTTTGTTGTAAACATTTTCTATAATTAGGAAATGCCATTTAAGAGTGAGAGACGTATATATCTGTGAGCCATTGTGTTTGGTGTTTTACAAGAACTTTACCATACTTGTGTGTATTCCATTCTGTACAGTTTAAAAATGATTCACGATTTGCAGGCTTTTTATCAGATCACAAAAAAAAAAAATCAGCCTTAAGCATTTGCTTGGTAAGATTTCTTAAGATTAGGTTTATAATACAACCATCTATAATGTATCTCTTGTTTGAGCTTGTGGGCCATACAGTTCATTAACTAGATGAATACATTGTGGACAGCATCCTCGCTACCCTTCTCTAATCACAAAGAACCACGATGCACTGGAATGTTTTTCTCTGGAATCCTCTTTCTACTCTTGTATTAAAAATTTTCCCCACTTAATGATTATGTTCAAAATAAACTACATCATTACTTCCTGTCTTTTCTTCTGTTGTACTATATTTGGAATGTAGATGTACTTGGGAAAGTCAGACTAGATCAAAGTTACTATTCTTAAGTTTTGAAAATTAGTGTTTTAGAAGAAACTCATTCATGTTTGCAAGTTATCTGTTTAGTGTTGAAAGACGGACAAAAGGAATCCTTGCCATGTTTCACATTTAATAAGATTCTTCCACTTTAATGGATAAAACCCTTTGATATCAGTGTCAACCAGGAAAATTCATGTTAGAAAAAATTGGAATGAGAGCTAATATTCTATATTCAGAACATTTGAGAAAGCATTTTTGACTATTACAAAAGTTTATTTAACAAAAAGTCTAATATGAAAATGTGTATGACCTAATTTCCCTATGGAGAGAGGACATGGGTTTCTCTGCTGAACAGCCATTATTTATACTCGTTCCAAGGCTTCTAACATGATGATACTATTTCCTCGTATTACC